GGGCAGACTCATGACGGGGGTGATTTGTTTCTCCTGGAAAGAGACTGCTCCATGAGGAGACACTAACCATGACTGTGGTTTGATTCCCAGGGAGAATATCCATTTGCTGGAGATGGAGTATGAGTTCTGGCAGAGGAATCGGTCTGTGAGCATCACAGTTGGGGACAGGAATCACAGTCTGAACTACTACAACGTTCAGATCGGGGAGCCCAGGTACCTACCCAACAGTGTGATGGGACACTAGCGAGGGAGTCAGGATTCTCCTGAGTTCTAGTCCTCGCTCTGCCACTGACTCACTGTGTGACTGGGCAAATGACTCACCCACTTTTCAGCTTCTCCATCCACAGAGAGACATAATCCTCCCTCCTGGTCCCTCCCCCTCATTTGGGAGCCATTGCACATGGAGACCTCTAGCAAAGCTCTACAGTGCCACAGACTGTTCCACAGGCCATTCCCCATCCCCTATGGCGGAGACAGGTGCTGATGGACATGGCTGTGCTGTTTTCTCTTCCCAGTCCTGTCCTGTGAAGGGACATTGACATCCCAGTGCAGAGTGGACCTTGCAGGATACAAGCTGCTTGCTGCCTGTCCCAGAGCATACATAGGCAAGACCTGCCTCTGCAGGCAAAGGTATCATGGCCTCCTGTTACCTTGAGGACTGTGTCCCTTGGAGACTTGAGGATCCACTGTGCAGACAGCTCAAGCAGGCCCTCTCCAGTCCAGCAGCTGGATTGCTGGTTGAACTGCTGACTGTTGGATGAGGGTGGAATTTGTGCTGCCCTCCATGTCTGACAGTCATTACGCTGCAGTGCCCAACAGCTGTTCGCTGTCATTGCCCGTTCGCTGTCATGCCAGCAGCACCATTGGTAGGATTTGAGCCACAACCTTAGCTTCTGGGTTTCCCTGTGCAGAGCTATGGCATGACCAGGCTGTGCATATCAGGGATCCCAGTCTTTGCCTGCTATGGGCAAGGAATTGACTAAGAGCTGGGCTGACCTGGTGATCTCTCTGCCTCCTTCCCCTGCAGACCAGAGTCCTACAGCAAAGACTGGGAGTTGGCAACAGACTTAAATGAAGGTAAAGAGAATTTTCGGTGATGTGACAGTTGCTGTGTCCCTCTAATGCCTACAGTAGAACAGAACAGCCTGTGCTGTGTGACAGAGCTCTTATACAGTCTTTGTGGTTCTTGTGCTTTATGGTAGATTGTTGCCGCAAAGGCTCACAGCAGTCCTCAATTTAGGCACCATTCCTTGGGCAACAACTTGCTGTTTGTTGAGCTACTCTCATTATTGGACAGCATGAGAAACAGAGGGAAACCAAACTCCACAGTCTCAGTGAACCCTCGAAATGATACAGGGCTGAATAAACCCCCTTTCATACTCCAGCCAGACATTTCCCCAGGCCCACCCTCTACTCTGAGTTCCAGCCCAAGGCCCTGTAAAAGCTTGGTTTGTAAATATTTCCACCACCAGCTATATGACAGCTAAACCCCTGGGCTACTTTCCCACACCTTCCCCAGCACCTTCCTTATCTCAGGCTCTTCCTCCTGCTGTGCTTGCTTGGGCTTGCTCCTCCTCCTTTCTCCTCACATGCTAAACTAACTGCAAAGGAGATCTTTTTAACCATTCTCAGCTGATTCTTAAAACATGTTCCAACTAGCCTGGTTCAAGGCTATGGAAGCCCTCTTAATTGGCTCCAGATACTTAACTGTGCCCTGATTGATTCTGGCAAGTTCCTGCTGGTTCTGGACTAGTCCTTGTTAGTTTACCCTGGAAACAGAGACATGTGCAATCTAAGACTAATATACTTCCCTTCTATCACTTTCTTGTACCCCTCTGGCCTGATCCTGTCATAGCTGCTCTTCACTGACTGCACCTAAACGTGGTCACCCGTGTGCCAAAGGAAGGCAGAACAGCTGGGTGGGAGGCAGGGAGAGATTCTTGAGTGCTGGGGAGGGGCTTGGATATGGAATTCCCTCCTGTGAGAGGTGAGGCCATGGCGCACGTGTGGTGGCATTCAGGGTTAGGCTCCTTTTGGCCATGGCTTCTTGTGATCACCTCTGGAGCTCTCTGCATGGAATACTGCTGTCCTTCCTGGGAAGCTGGGTGGTAGGATCACGCTGAGATGGTTTCACTCTCCTTGGATCGCATGGGTTCAGCCTCCTGCATGTTCCAAGGTGCAGTCAGGGAAATGTGTCAGCGCTGCAGGACAGGCTCTGTTGGGGCTCCCCAGTGTCTGTGTAATAACAGTTCCTTCTCTCTAAGGAGTATTGGGATGGAGCTAAGAAAGTGTGATAGAAGCTGCTTAACCCTGGCTCCAGGTGAGCCAGCCCAGCCCTTACGTCTGTTTGTGTTTGGGGGTCAGAGTTCTGGCCTACAGCCCCTGTTCCAGCACATGCTTCTATCCTTATTGCCCAAGTCTGAGAAGCAGATTCCAGCTCCACTGATCCACATCCCATCATAACCTGTATTCAAGCCCCAGGCCCCTTCTCGGCATGCAGGGGCACCAAATCTGCCACAGGGGACACTGAAGAGTGTCTGGCGTCAGTCTTTGTGTGTCTTGTAGATGCCAGGCAGGAACTTTGGGCAGAGCTAAAATCTGCGGCAGAGTCAGGCTGGGACTTCTCTTCTCGCTGGTTCCTCTCCTCGCCTCATCCAATCTCTGCAACACTGAAGGACACCAAAGCCAGTGCGGTAGTGCCAGTTGATCTGAATGCCTTTCTGTGCAAGACCGAGCACCTGTTGGCTTCATTCTACAGGATACTGGGTAAAGAGCCCGTTGGGACATGCCTCCCTTGGAGAGACTCATGCCTGTTCAATCTCTTCCCCCTTCACAGGACATGGTCACAAGATATGTTAGTGGAGCAACATCCGCTGTGTGGGGAAAGGGCCCAGCATCCTGTGGCATTGCTGCCCATAGAGCAGCATATGTAAACAGCTGTGCAATACAATGGCATCTCCCTGCAAGTGGGAGGAGGAAGCAGTTTAACCCTTCTCTGCCGCGGGCAAAGCCACTTGACTGCTCACTTATTTCTGTGTTTGTTTAACTGTAAGGTGCTGGGAGCCTAGGGAGAGCATCAGGTGTGTAGAGATGAGCATTGCAGGGATCAGTCTTGTCTAGGACACTTCCTTTTCCCTAGCCAGGGGCTATGTCAGCAAAGAAGAGCTGCAAGTGACTGTATTAGGGATGTGAATGGGTAACTGGTTAACCAATTACATGTTACCCAGGAGCAGCCCACAGCTCCCAGCCTGCACAGGTTCATGGGCTGGGAGTTGGCAGCATTACATGGGGTGGAGATGGAGATGGAGATGGGGGGGGGGGGGGGGGGGGAGGTTTTTTTTCCCCCTGCCACTTCTAGCCTGCGCCGACTCCCAGCTTGCCTGGGGTTGGAAGCAGCCGGGCTCCAGCAGCCCCTCCCCACAGCACAGGGGCTGCTTCAGGCTGACCGTAGCAGGTTAGGGGGAGCTGCTCCAGCCCAGCAGGTTGGAATGCCTCCCATTTAATCAGTTACCAGCTAAACTTAATGTTTAACTAATTAAATGGGAGCTGTAGTGGGTTGCAGCTTCCTCCTCTGAGCAGGTGCTACAGGCCATGCCGCTTTGAGTGAACTGGGGCTCTAGAGTCTGAAATGTGGATTGCCTTGGGGCCACAGCAAAAACTGAGGCCAAGCTAAGATGCAGTTAATCTGTGAATGCTCTGCAAGCCTTTCCCTAGTGCAAACAGCCAATCTCTCTCAGGAAACACCACCAAGGCTGCCCAGTTCCAGGCCAATCTGGAGCACAGGCTCGAGGCTGTCCAAGCTGTCTTCTGGAATGAGGCTGCTGGAGTCTGGATGGACTTTAACCTCCTGAAGAAGCAGCTAAACCCAGCTTTTTACCCCACCAATCTGGCACCTCTGTGGACTGACTGCTTCTCGGACCAGGCTGCAGCTGAGAAGGCAGTTCGGTACCTAGAGGTGAGTTGGGTTCATGTGGGTGAGATTTTTCACCTCAACAAATCAGTCTGTTGGCAAGGCACACTCCTCACATGCTGGGCTAATGGAGATTATGTCCCCTGGCGATGGTTCTGCACAGAGCAAAGCAAGGTGGAGCTGGAGCCCAGTTCTTATATGGCCCCGTCCCAAATGTTTGTCAGGAGATTCCCAGAACCTGTTCCTGCAGCTCAACCCGCTAGTAACTTCTGGTGCCTCCTTTTGACATTAGGTCAGGCCTGTTCCCATTTCAGGGGCTGAGCGAATAGCTGCCCAGGTCAGCCAACAGAGTCTTGTCTCCCTAGATCCCTCTGCATCCTGTCTCCTGGATGGTGACTCACTAGGGATTCCAGTACTACCACTCAATATGCTCTCTACCTTTGCAGAGGAGCTCAGCGCTATCCTATAAGAACGGTCTCCCTACATCACTTGCCAGAACTGGGGAGCAGTGGGATCTGCCCAATGCCTGGCCTCCACTGCAGCATATGGTGATTGCAGGTAAGGATATGAGTGCGGAAGCATCCTTAGTTGTTTGCAAAACTGGAAGTCTGTTGGAAAATTTGCTGTTTGGTACGTTCTAGGGCCTGTCCCTTGTTTTCTTGCACCTGTCCCAGCTCCAGACATTGCATTACAGTAATTCCTCATTTAACACGTGCCTGCTTAACACGTTTTTGCAATAGCACAATTTTTTTTTAGGGAATGTTTTTTGAATTACACGACGATCTCCGAAATAACATGATTTCCCCAACTGGCCCATTGCTGGTGGCTGCACGGGGCTTCCCCCACCTCCCTGCAACGTGGCAGAGGGTTTGCTGCTCCCCGCTGACCCCCCCTTGCCAGACACTTTGCCCCCTCTCCTCCGCCCCTGCTAACAGGCCGGTGGCTGGGTTTCCCCAGCCATCCCGTTACTGGTGGCTGCGCGGGGCTTCCCCCACCTCCCTGCAAACTCCCGGCGGAGGGTTCGCTGCTCGCCGCACCGTTCCCCAGTAACCCCCCCCCACTGGACGCAGTGCGGGTCCTGGTAGACCCGGCAGAGGGGCATACTCCCAACCCAATCCCCCTCCCTCTCCTCCTCTTCCCTTCCCCAGAGCCAAACACGTCCCCTCCCTGCTGTAACCCAGTCCCCTTTTTCCCTCAACCTTATGTCCCAGTCCCAACAGACGCCACTGCTTGAAATGCAACCCCCACCTTTTCCATTATTTTCAGTGGGAAAATTGACCCTGCATAACGTGTTTTCGCTTAACATGATCATTTTCTGAAACATATCTGTAGTGTTAAATGAGGAATTACTGTATGCCTCTCTCAATCCCTGCCCACCACTCTGCTGCTACTTTGTATCATTGTTGATCCTGCTTTTGTGGCTTTAGTTCCTTACAGTGCAGCAGCTGTAGTCCAGGCTGGGTGCTCTGTTATGAGTGCAGATGTCACAGTGCCATCTTGGAAAAGCCAGGTGGCTCATAACTCTCCTCACAGCTGCTTGAATCTGTAAGCCCTAAGGAACTTGATGTGTGGCCTTCACGAATCTATGGGGTGTGGGCCTACCCTGTGGAAACCTGCTTTTGGAGGGCGAGGGTGGGAGTGGAAGAACTGCACAAAGCTGCTTCTTGGTGTAACCATGAGCTCCAATGAGGGAGTCACCTCTTGCAGGAATGGAGAGGGTAGTGTTTGCAGGGGATCCTAGCATCCCTCGTGACCAGATACCTGACATTCTGGCAATTATCTGTGTTCATAGGTTTGGCCAAGTCCAGCTCCCCAGGAGCCAAGGAAACTGCCTTTATCCTGGCTCAGAATTGGATCAGAACCAACTTTGCCTTATATAAGAAGTACCAGGCCATGTTCGAGAAGGTAAAGTCATTGGTAATCCCACCCAGCCAGGCTGCAGCCTCCGTGTGTATGAGCTTTTCAAGTGGAATTCTCTGTACACCCTGCCTCCAGTCCCCAAAAAGTGAGCGGGGATCACCTCACAGTGCCTAGTGCCCTCATGGAGAGAGACTGGGTTGCTCCCCTAAATGACCCTCAGGCTTGTTTTAACCCTTTCAGTGTCAGTTTGTATTCAGAGCTGTCCCCCAGGTGTGGAGGCAAGCGCGCCTATCTCAGAAAGTTCCTCCCTGGATACCCGGGCAGAAGTGTAAAGTGTGGGGATAGATGTGGCTGGTCAGTCACAGAGTCCCCCCATCATGCTGGCTAGTCAGCCTGCCCTTTCCCTCCTCTTCCAGAGCTGCTTTCTACCCCTGCTTGGTGTACAAGCTTCTTTTGCCTTAAGCACCTGTGTTGGAGGACACAGAAGAGCTGGATTCTTAACCTGCCCCTCCTGTACTCTGGGGTAGGCACATTCTAACTGGGCTTTCTGAATAATCCTCTTTCTCCACAGTACAGTGTGGATGGAGATGGGAACCCAGGGACCGGAGGAGAGTACCAAGTCCAGGTAAGACCACGTACTGAAGTCCATAGGTGGGGAGGGGTGTGTGTGTTCATAGAATCTCTCACTAGGCCTAGAGGGCAGGGCCAGACAAGTTGGTAGGGTGGAAGCTGCTGCTGAGGTTCATTCTCCATGTGAGTTCCTGCCTTGCATAGCAGGAGCATGTGCCTTGTTAATGCTGCATTCTTCAAGTGCTTGCTCATATGTATTCCAACTGAGGTGTGTACATGCCACATGCGTGGCTGCTGGAAAGTTTTTACCCTAGCTGCTGAGTTGGCTGTGGAGCCACCTGGAGTGGCTCTGGTGCAACGCCCTATATATGACCCAGCCAACTCAACAGCCCCTCAGTTTTTCTTACTGCCAGCAATGACTATTGGAATTTGTGGCTGTCTTGCTTCGCAAGTGCCTTATTCCCCCTAGTGTGGACGCATCCTCTCTGGGCTGGGGTGCTTATCTCGGGGACCACACCACTCAAGCGATGTGGGCAGAGGAGGGGTTGTCCCTCTATATCAACGTGTGCAAATTTGTGTGTTTAGCTTTTCTCCTTCACATTCAGGGTTGCTGCACGGCAGTCATGACTGACAACTTGACTACCAAACAGGACAGAGCCAGGTTGTCCCCTCTTTGCACCAAAGCCTTTCACCTGTGGGGTTTGTGCATAGCCCACTTTATTCACCTGGAAGTGTCCTACCTTCCGGGGGTTCAAAAATCAGCTGGTGAACTGTCTCAGCCAGCACTTCCTGACTCACGAGTGGCCACTTTGACTGGATGTCCTCCACGCTGTGTTCCAAGCATGAGGGTTTCTCCAGGTAGATCTGGTCTCTGCCTTCCACATTGGGAGGAAAAGGTCAGGACATTTTCCTCCCAGTTTTTTATCCAAAGCCCATGGGATCAGTGGCTACACTCCCTGGATGTCAGGAGAGCGCTCGCATTCTACAGTGATAGACTAAGTCCTTTAATAAACCCTCACACCTTTTCATGGGAATGGCAGACTGGATGAAGGGTCTGCCAGTTTCATCACAGTGCTGCTTCTCCTGATTATGGCGTGATTCCGCAGATGTTATAACCTAGCTAAGGTGTCTCTGCTGCCTCTCACAGCGCACTCCACATGGGTACACGCCTCCTTGGCTGCTTTTCTGACCCACATTAATCCCCAGGAAATCTGCAATGTGCTCCTTGGTTTGTACCATCATGTCACACTCCTAGGCTGTGTCTACGCTGGGCCACTTATTCTGGAAAAGCAGCCGCTTTTCCGGAATAAGCTGCGAGCTGTCTACACTGGCCACTTGCTTTTCCGGAAAAGCGTCCGTGCCAATGAAGACGCACTTTTCCGCAAAAAAGCCCCGATCGTGAAAATGACGATCGGGGCTTTTTTGCGGAAAAGTGCGTCTTCATTGGCACGGACGCTTTTCCGGAAAAGCGTCCGTGCCAATGAAGACGCACTTTTCCGCAAAAAAGCCCCGATCGTGAAAATGACGATCGGGGCTTTTTTGCGGAAAAGTGCGTCTTCATTGGCACGGACGCTTTTCCGGAAAAGCATCCTGCCGATGTAGACGCGCTTTTCCGGAAATACTTATAACAGAAAAACTGTTCCGTTTTAAGCATTTCCGGAAAAGGGTGCCAGTGTAGACATAGCCCTATTGTACAGCAGTCCAGACATGATGCGGCCTTTGAGGCCGCAGTACTCAAGTTAGCTACATACATGTTGGGCTCGTCTACATTGGCCCCTTTTCCAGAAGGGGCATGCTAATTTTTCAGATCGTAATAGGGAAATCCGCGGGGAATTTAAATATCCCCCGCGGCATTTAAATAAAAATGTCCGCCGCTTTTTTCCGGCTTTTAGAAAAGCCTACTTTGAAGTAGGAATAAGAGATCCTCCGGAAAAGGGCTTTTTTCCCGGAGGATCGGACCGGATCGGGGCCAGTGTAGACGCTCTTTTCCGCGTTTTTATTTAAATGCCGCGGGGGATATTTAAATTCCCCGCGGATTTCCCTATTACGATCTGAAAAATTAGCATGCCCCTTCCGGAAAAGGGGCCAATGTAGACGTAGCCATTGACTCCAACCTCTTCTCCTGTATAAGGCTTGTGAATGACATCAATTGGAGTACATATGAGCAAGCAGTTGAAGAAATGGTAACACATCTTTGTAACTGTTATTCTTCAAAATACTGCTCATATCTATTCCATATTCACCCGCCTTCTCCACTGTCAGAGTAGCTGGCAAGATGGAACTGAGGTGCTATTGGGTTGGTGAGTCATATATAGGGTGTCACACTGGTGCAACTACAGGGGGTGCCACCATCGACCCCACAGGTAGCAGCAGGGTAAAACGTTCCAGCAGCCGTGCACGTGGCACGCACACACCTTAATTGGAATAGCTATGAGCCACGCTTATCGAAGAACAATGCTCACAAAGATGAGTAACCATTTTTTCTGCTCTCCCCCCCCCCCCCC